TCATCCTCCCAATCTGAATCGAAATATTCTCGCCCTGTCTTCAGTGGCGTCTGCGTTAATTTTGCGGCGTTCCAGCGGCGTCCATCTGCAAATTTGTATGTTGAAGGTCCTACTTGTCTCTGAATGATCTGTGGAGTTGAATACTTAGGTTGTAACTTGCCTCGATGGGATGGTTAAAAAATCCGGACGGCTTGTCCAGGGACGAACTGCGGTCGTCGAACAGCTCGACGACTGTCCGAATACGATTTCATCTTTTCTCTGTACTGCTGCACACGCTGTGGCAGTCCTGCACGTGTCTCAGGAAAATCCACTGGGAGTGACCTGGTTTCCATCCCTTGTAGGTCCAGTTTCGACCGATGAATTCTTGCGTGAAGAAGCCACGATGGTGCAACTCCAGTTGCTGCATGCGGCGTCCGACGATACGTCTCCAGATAATCACGGACCGCATCTGGTAAAGGACGGCCTTGAACGACGGCCAACTGTAGACAGCACTTGACAACTCTATTAAGCCTTTCCACCTGCCCATTGCATTGGGGGTGGTACAGGGACGCCTTGAGATGTTTTATCCCATGCTGATGAAGAAATTCCTGGAATTCTTTCGACGCAAACTGAACACCATTGTCCGAGACGATTTCGCAGGGTAATCCCTCACATGCGAAGATGTTTTTCAAAACGTTTATAACTAGATGAGGTCACGGAAGCTGCTGCTTGAACTTCCGGCCACTTGGAATGGTAGTCCATGAGGACAATGAAGAACCGCTGACTTAATGGCGCCCGTTCTATTGGGCCCACGATATCTATCCCGAGCTTCTCCCACCGTTTATCAGGAAACTTGATCGGTTGAAGAGGTTCTGGGGCTGCTTTGACCGGCTTGTCGGTGGAATGACAGACTATGCAGTTTTCTATCTTGAACTTTATCTGCTGGTTCATTCGCGGCCACCAGTACTGCTCTCTGATGATGCTCGTTGTTCTAGAAATCCCTTGGTGAGTTTCATGAGCCAGTTGAATGATGTGGTCTCGCAGATTTTGAGGGACAACAATCTTCTCCCCTTGAAAAAGTATTCCGTCATGGAGGGACAGCTGATCTCGTACGTGGAAGTACGGTCGAAGTTCTTGGTGTACATTGTTGTCCTCTGGCCAGGACTCAGTGGTGTAGCGAATGACGCTAGGCAGAACGGTGTCATTGGCGGTAGCCTCTTGAAATTCCTGACGTGACAAGGGCGTTGCTATGCGAGCAACAACATCCACTTCAAACAAAGTACCACCCTCGGTGTCTTGGCGAGGTAGTCGTGAAAACGCATCCGCGACTAAGTTTGTAGATCATTTTTGATATTCCATGCGGAAATTATAATTCATCAGTCTCGCCGTCCAACGTGTGATGCGCAACGGACGAACACCAGATAATTTGTTAGATAAAAGCGTCACAAGCGCTTGATAGTCGGTTCGAATAACAAATGGACGTCCCCATAAGTAGACGTGAAACTTCTCACAAGCCCAAAGGCAAGCGAGAGCTTCCTTCTCCCCAGTTGAGTACCTCCGCTCAGCGTCCGTGAGTGATCGGGAGGCAAAAGCGACAGGGACAAGATGGTTCCCATGCTGCTGTTGAAGGGCGACGCCCAGGCCGTAATGAGAAGCGTCTGTAGCCACGATGATGGGTAGAAACGGATCAAACATGGCTAAAATGGGTGCATGTTGAATACAATTCTTGATGTTTTGGAAACTCGCGTCCGCTTCGAGGGACCAGACAAAACGAACGCCCTTTCGGAGTAAACAACGAAGAGGTTCGACCACAGTGGAACAATGCGGGACAAATTTGCTATAGTATTCGACAAGTCCCAAGAATGCTTTCAGCCTTGCAGAGTCTGATGGAGTCTCAAAATTCAGAACAGCATCTACCTTCGATGCAAGGGGTGCTAACCCTTCCATGGAGAGACGGTGCCCCAAATATGAGAGTTCACGGACATTGAAAACACCCTTCCGATTTAACTTCATTCCTGCGCGGGAGATGCAAGACAAGACTTTGCGGAGGTTTACATCATGTTCCTCCTGCGAAGATCCGTAGACGATGACATCATCGAGATAAAACTGGACGCCTTGACATCCTTCCAAAATTTTCGACATGATCTTTTGGAACGCCGCAGGTGCAGATGCCAGTCCGAAGCATATGCGCTTAAAAGGGAAAAGACCTTCATGCAAGATGAAAGCTGTTAGATATCGACTCGCGGGGTCGAGACGAACTTGATGGTACGCAGATGCAAGGTCTAGCTTGGAGAAGACGCAGTGATGTGATTGGCCTAAGGCATTTCGAGGCACCTTTTGGAGCAGCCAAAACAGTGTTTTGGAGCAGTAAAAGTTGCTTTTGGAGCAGCCAGAACAGTGTTTTGGAGCAGCAAAAGTGGCTTTTGGACAAGCCAAAACAGTGTTTTGGAGGAAAAAAAAAAGGCTTTTTGAGCAAATATTTTTATAAAAATAAAAATATTTGTTTTAAGTGCTGGACAAACGAAGAGCACTTTGTGATGTGTTATGACGGAACTCGCTGTTTGTGTTTTTACTGCCGATACATCCCACAAGTGTACAGTGTTGTAGGCGTTGCCGAGCAATTCCGAAAAGAACGTTCGCCACAGTTTTACTGGTTCCCTGTTCCCGACGTGCCAGATTTTCGTTAAAAGTAAGCGAACGTAAAACATTGGATTGCAACCGTCCCGGCTGGTGCTCTGTCGTGCAGTCATGTTCACATGCACGTGAGGGCAACTTCAGCAGGCTTGCAGTGGCACGTGCTTCGTCGCGCGAGCGGAGACAACGGCTGTTCAATCGAAACCGAAACAATGCCACACCGGTCCGTCGTCAACTGAATCCCAAAATATATGCAAAATGCAACTGTCCAGTATTCGACGAAAAAAAAAAACTGTCCAGCGGCGCGTGCTTGTCAGGCCAGCAGACGAGGTACAAGCAAAATACAGAGAAAAACAGAACCTGAGCGCATCGATGCATGACATCGCGAGCCAGGGTCAAAAATGTTTGGAGCGCTCTGAGCAACGACTGAACTCGAGACAAACAAGCGCGCTGTGTGGGTTCAGCGTGCAGACATTGCCTTCTTTGCTTTATTTCACTTCTCCTCACCAACTTTCTTTTGCGGCCGATTTTTTACGTAGCGGAGTCCCTCTCGAAAAAAAGCCCGCCGAGAGAAATCTAGGTAATAAATATTTTGAGGGGGGATTTTTGGAGTATAGTACAATTTGAACAAGAGGAATGTCGACGAACAAGTTTAGAAAGCGCCATGGGGCGTGGGGACGGCAACACCCGACGTCGCACGACCACGGTGACAGTGGTCGTGCGAGCTTTTCAGCTCACAAAGTAACTCTCCCAGTGCAAAAACGTGGTTTTGTTTCACAGCATGACGGCAATGCTGGCACCCGGCACACTAGCGACGGAACGTCCGCACACGCCCGCGTCTATAGCTGAAACAATTTTAAAAAGAAGACGCGAGACGAGATTCCCGCGACGACGAGGGCAACGAGGGCGCGAAGCGCGAGACGGCGGCAAAAACCATGCAAGACCGGATGGACGATTCATGCTGGGTACTTTGTGTTGGGCGGCCGCTTGCGCCACCTGTAGCTCACGCATGCTCAATTACGGTTCTCAGTTTAGTTTCGGTTTTGAAAGGCGACCGAAATTGGACCTTTGGCGCAGGCTTGGCGCAGTTTAGCCATATTTTGGCAAAATGTAGCATGATGTAGCAGGGTCAGCCCCTTGGCGCAGTTTGGCGCAATTGGCGCAGGAATCACATCACTGGAGACGGCTGCTCCTCGGAGGGAATTCAAAAGTTCGTCGATGTGCGGGAGTGGAAAAGCGTCGATGACGATGGCTTGATTTGGCACTCGCAGATCCACACACATCCGGATATTTCCGTATTGTTTCTGGACAACGACGATGGGAGAAACCCATTCCGAAGCGTTGACGCGTTCAATGACTCCTTGCCGTTCCAGTTTGAAGATCTCTTCGGAGACGGCGTCACGAAGAGTTAGAGGAAGACGTCTTAGCCTTGACTGCACTGGTGGAACATTATGTCGCACCTTGACCTTGTGCGTCTCATTCCGCACCAGGCCCAACTCGGGATCGAACAGGTGTTTAAAGTCTTCAAATCCCGGGGGTAACTGGGATGTGTCCCGTGGAGGTAGACTTGACTGCAGACCCTTCGAAGGAAGGTTGCTTTGCTCAGGAATAGGCTCTTGGTATAACTTTCTACTTCGAAGATCAGGAAGATCAGTATGACGTTGTGGAACACTGCAACCACGTTGATCTTCAGGTTGACGCTCTGGACCACTGGCTCCACACTGACTTGCAGGATGACTATCTGGACTGGAGTTGGCCGACGGTATGTGGTCAAACTCTTCGAAGACTTTGGGAGCTGTTTGTTCCCCATAAAAAGGTTGTAGTGGCCTGGATACGTAAACACCCGACGGTACTGAAGATGAATGGTTGTTCCTAGATGTAACTGGAGGTTGATGACTTGGTGGCTGTGATGACTGGCGAGACGACAACGTGAAGGGTCGTCGCTGCGGAGCGCCAGCCGGCCCTACATTCCGAGGTGGCTCTGCTCCACTTCCAGCTGCATTAATCGTACTCAGCTCCAGATAAGGTCATGCTCAACTCGCGCACTGCGTCGGTTCCAAGCAATGATCGTCCCGTACGCGTCACGTAAAATTCCAGCGGCGCGTATCGATTCTTGAAAACCACTTGTCCAAAGAAACATCCCAGTACGGGGATGGGCTGTTGCAGATAATGCACTAAGGTTCTTGGTGGACGATGAAGCTTAATCTTACGTTTCCTGTTTACATGATTAAATGTTTGTTCGTTCAAAATCGAGACGTAAGATCCGGTGTCAATAAGCTTGAGAGGGGTGCCATTTACCTGGACATCTGCCAAGAACACGTTGCGGAGACCCGGGTCGCGTGCGAGGCGATCCGTAGACTGCACAGAGACCTCGTGCTGGTCAAACGTCACACTCGGCAGGACTTCCTGATGGACAGTTCCCACATGGGTCGATCCGTCTCGTCGATAAAAACGGCCGCTCTGGTAGCGTCCGGGAAGTTGTCCACGGCACCGGGGTTGTCCTCGACCCCGCACTGGAAATGATGCTTGCCGTTCATCGTTAATGAATGCTCCTGACAGTGCTTGACGATTGCGGCAAACCAGAGCAAAATGTCCCTGCTTCCCACACAGAAAGCACGTCGCGTTCCGTGCCGGGCAGAACTCGCGGGCATGGTCGCGCCAGCCACAGAGCCAGCTCGTAGAGAGAGAGCCTGCATCTTCCCTCTCCCTCGCCCGGTGAGGAGGAGGCTCGCGGACTGTTGGCCGCCTTGCCCGCCCTTGGAAACGGGGAAGATGGCCGTCAGACGATGGTTGACCCCACGGCATCACGGGACCTCGCTGCGACGGGGTCATCCCGGTGGAAGGACACGGAGGGTGACCATATTGGTGATAGAGTTGGGCGGGGAACACGGAAGCTCCGCCATCTTGATTCGCAGGCCACTGAGCATACGCATGAATATCTTGGACCGCTGCCGGTTCCAAACCGCGGCTTCCGTCGTTAACAGGGAAAGACGACACCGCGCTCGTCTGGCGATGAAACGATTCAGTCGTTTTCGCAAGTTGTTCAAATTGTATTGCGAGCTGGAACGCTCTGTCCAGGGTGGGTACCTCGGCCCCGATGCATTCACGTAAAATGCGGTCCTGAACTCTCTTCGAATCCAACCCCTCCAAAAAGATTTCACACAGGCGTTCGTCTAACGTAGCGCCGTAGCTACAGAAAGAGCCTTGATGACGTAATGCGGCGAGGTATTCGGAGACTGATTCGCCAGGACGTTGGACTCTAGCACGGAGTTTCTTTCTTTCCAGTGTTACGGACCCCGAGAACTCAAAGTGTTTTTCTAACTTCTCCAAAAATATTTCATACTCGTCATTGAGCTCAGTCGCCGGTGCATCGTCCAAGCGGAATGCGTCAACCACACGCTGGCCTTCCGTGCCGAGCAACAAAAACAGGAGTTGTCTTTTACGACGTGGTTCCATCTGTTCGAACCCCGAAGCGCCAAGAAAAGCGGTGAAGGCACGCTTCCATGCCGGCCACGCAAGGGTGGGCGTGTCGGGAACAGGTAGAAAGACGGGTGGCGGCGGCACAATCGCCGTTCCAAAAGCGATATTTTGAGTCATGATGGTCAAATGTCGAAAGGAACCACGGAAATAGTCAAAGCACGCTGAGGGTCGACGCCTAGCGTTAGAGAAATTGCAAGATTGCAACCGACATGGTGGTTGACAATGCAAATCGAAGGAAAGACTGTGAAGCAGCCGGTGGTTGGCTTGAACTAAAACCAGACGTTATGCGCAGCGATCGGGCGTGGAGATCATGCTAGGAGGGGACGGATCTAGGAAGGAAAAAAACGTTTACCTCGTCACCTCCTCGTATCCCATCCTCGTCGCCATTGTAATATTCTGTGGGTCCGAGAACGCCGGCTCAGGATAAAAAAAACAGACACGACCAGCCCCGTCCGAATCCAAGCACGATCTCCTTTATCACGAGCTCATCGTGGGGTATCACGCGGGCACGCAGAGCGTGCAACATGGCAGCGCCGGCTTTTGGCGCCGCTTTATGTTCATGTACTAAAACCACTACAACTCTGTCAGGAAATAAACAGCAGACGAAAATGAAAACTCATCAGCTGTTGCTGCAGTAATCTGTCCAGGACAAGCTGGAGAAGCAAGGGCCCGTAGGGCGCTGCTCATACCTTGTTCAGGCAGCCATGGGATGGTACGCACTTCTAGAATGAACAAAGACGACAGTCGTCGTAGGTGTACCTCGGTCGACTTGGAAACACTATCATTGTGCTAAACTCACCAGCAGCTGAAGGGGGGGGGGGGGGGGGGGGGGTTGCCGAACCAGGCTGCTCTAGGGAACCTGGGAAGGTCAGGTTCTGTACAGCACCGCTTGGAACTTCCTGGGGGGCCTCAGGAGGACACACTCGCCTAGAATCGACAAATACGGCACTAGTGATAAGTGAGCGATCAGTTGACCTGGACAGAGTATCGGACTGCCAAACTCACCAACAGCTGCGGTCACTGCGGCAAACTGCCCCGAGGGAAAAGCTCCGCTTGAACCTCGCTGAGGGCCCTCCGGAGGACACACACTCCTAGGATGGACAGAGATGGCACTAGTGGTAAGTGTGCCTCGGTCGACCAAGAAACAGTATCGGACAGCCTAACTAAAGAGCAGCTGGGGTTGCTGCAGCAGTCTGTTCTGGGGATGTTTCAGTACTGTGGGCATTGCCTTGTGGTGGGGTGCCTCGGGGACTTTAGGGAGCCAACCAAAACAAATAAATGGAACTGCATTTTGTAAAGGAGACATCCAAAATTATCAGTTTGTGCATCGAATTTGTATTGTAAAACAGATAACGTGTCTTACTGAAAAAAATTTTTTTTTAAATGGTTTGTGAGATGTTGTACATACTACCATTTCCAGTTCCCTTGCAGTGGTGGTTTACTCTCTAGGTTGAAGGTAACGAAAAAAGAAATATTTGGGAGAGCATTTTTTCTAAATTTTTTGCTCTCCTTTGTTTTGCATGACTAGTGTTTTGAATTGGTGGATACTGAAGTGGTCCTGTAATAGATTGAAGAGATCGGATTTTAGTCGAGAACTCGTCATGTAACGCCACCTTAAACGCCCGTTTCTACAGATCCTAGGTTAGCCTGCCAAAGACCTGCACGTAAAGTTTGCGCTGACAAAGCTGCTCGCCCGAGTGTGGGGTTGATCTCAAATGTTTTATTTGCTAGCGCTTTTGTTTCAATAAGACTGCGAGCGAAGGAGACCCTATTGACACTACGAGAGCGAACGCACTTTGAGCGGGCTAAGCGCACACGCTCGTCCAGTAAGAGCGTCATTAGAGAAAACATACTCGAGCTTGACGCACTGGCTGCGCTCGCACTTATATTGAAATTGAGTATAGATACATCCACATGCTCGGGTCCGCAGCCGCGGCAGCGTTGCAAGCTATGTGTGCGAAACAAAGTATGGTACGCGAGCACGAAAGCAACACTTGACGAGAGCGCGTACTCCGCATGCACCCGTAATTGGGAGCGACGCCGATGCCACAAGCACGGGCGGGCCGTTAAGAACGACCAAAGACCCCTACGCACAGTTGCGTTTGAGAGCGTTTCACTGCGTTGCGACTGCGAGGACGCAGGACATCCATACTTCTTTTGTCGCATGCCAAGCAATTCCGTGAATTGGATTCCACGCTTCATACGAAGCGCAGATGTGCCGGTCCATCACTTTCGTTTCTCGGTGCAGCGTAGTTAAACGCTCTCAAACGCAACTGTGCGTAGGGGCCTTTACTTTAACGGCACGGGCATCCGTGCATGCCAAGTTGGCAATCTTGTGCTCGCTATTACATCGCTCGCGTTAATGGTGGAATGGAGTGCATAACTCGCTCTAAACAGCTGTCTTCTTGCATGCTGGTGAGGTTTATACAGAGCACTCACCTCGCATAACTTTGCGGCTCCCGTCGGGTTGAAATCTTTTCGACCGATTCGGTGAAGCAAGATCTTCCTCTGAGGTTAATTTTTCGTTCCAGAGAGAACACTGAAAAGCTTCCCGGCCGACTTTTCTACAGGCGCAGCAGCCCGGCAGCTGCGGCGTAGCCGGCGTAGCAACATCTTGGAAAATTCATGGCGACCGGAAGTCCTAAACCGAAAGCCAGATGTCACGTGACAACGGTTAAACCAGCTGAACTACGAAATTAGGGAGAAAGGAGTAAAGACAGGTGATCGCTGGACTACCAACTATTTAATAAAGATTCTTAGTTTTCCTCTAATTGTCTACTGGCGTTGTGGCTACCTTCTCTTCTTCCTACTTGATTTTTCTGTTTCATCTCGGATACTGGTTTTCCGGAGGAATCTTTTTTCGCTTTCCTGTAGCGCAATAGATGGTGTACTAACGCAATTTTCTTCTTTATCTTCTATGGCCAAGGCCTCAAGTATTTCACGGGCGAGCTGGTCTTTGTGGTGAGCTAATATGGTACCCAGGTCGAGCTTGGCCTCGCACGTGCATGCTCGACATTGAGCGGCTAAATGCCCCGGCCCTGTTAGGGCTCTTATGTTTGCTGCATGCTCACGTGCTCGATCGTTCACGCACCTTCCCGTTTGTCCAATTGGACAAACGGGAAGGTGCGTGAACGATTCCTCCGGAAAACCAGTATCCGAGATGGAACAGAAAAATCAAGTAGGAAGATGTGAAGGTAGCCACAACGCCAGTAGACAAAGAGAGGAAAACGAAGAATCTTTGTTAAATAGTTGGTAGTCCAGCGATCACCTGTCTTTACTCCTTTCTCCCTAATTTCGTAGTTCAGCTGGTTTAACCGTTGTAATATGTACCACCAACTAGCTCAGCTTCTACCTCCTGTCACGTGACGACCGGCCAATAGTGTGCGAGGCGGCATGTTCAAAGAATGGCGCCACTTTTCCCAGGATAGAGGGGCTTTAGGCGTGTTCCCTATAGACGCTTTGCAGCAGCTGTGCATAGACGCCGCCATAACTGACCTTCAGTTTTTGTGTCCTCTTATTTCGTTTATTTCACTTTATCATTACCATAGCAGGCCAAGTTATTGCCACATTAGATTCAACTGTGTCCTTTTCTAAAGCATCGACCTTTGTAGAAGATCGTCAACTGCCGTTTCAGTTGTTCGGCATCTCGGTAAGACAAGAGAAGGTCAGCAATGGCGGCTGAAATTTGGCGCGTGTGTAAAGCGTCTATAGTCGGTTGCAACCTAAGACCAATCTTTTGGCTCCACCCACAAGCGCATTGCGCCCATGTGAAGTGCGTCCGCCGTCGAGAAAGTAGTTCGCTAGCAACGTTGCTTTTTCTTGCTCCAGGAAACGTGTCTTAAACTACTACAATATTTATTTAATTCATTCAGGACATTTAAATAAGTCAGAATACGTTGTCAACGAAATAGCTGTTTAGTAAAGAAAGAAAGTCATGTCCAATGTACCGTCTTCCCAATTCATTTTCTGTCCAAGATACTGTCTGACATACCTTCTAACATACCTCTCAGCAGTGCTAAGCCTCGCGCCCGCTTCGAAATTTTCGTTGGCGATAGCGTCGCTGGACTCTCACGTTTTTGCGCAAAAACTGCTGCAAACGCAAGCCGATACCATTAAGATTTCGTGGCGTAACCTCAGGCACGTAAAACAGGGTGCAAAAAAGCAGAATAATTGTCACGAGAAACTAGCGTCGCGTTGCTAAGGCCAGCAGCCATGTTGAGCTTCTTTTTTTTTAGAGCGCAGCTCTTAGGGGCCCGTTCCCGGCTTGAGCGGCGTCGGCGTCGGCGTCGGCGTCGGCGTCGCCGTCGTCGTAACCGCAACCCTCGTAACCCTCGTGAGGGTTACGTGGGTTACGAGGGTTAATCTCATGAGGGTTACCCTCACGAGGATCACGAGGGTTACTTACCCTCGTAACCCTCATCAGGGTTACGAGGGTTAGTTACCCTCAAAAGGGTTACCTTCACGAGGGTTACCCTCACGAGGGTTACTTACCCTCGTAACCCTCACGAGGGTTACGAGGGTTAGTTACCCTCAAAAGGGTTACCTTCACGAGGGTTACCCTCATGAGGGTCACAAGGGTTATGAGAGTTACCCTCACGAGGGTCACGAGAGTTACCCTCACGAGGGTCACGAGAGTTGCCCTCACAAGGGTTACTAGGGTTACCCTCACGAGGGTCACGATGGTTACCCAGGTCACGTGACCCCCCCGGGGTCACGTGACCCCCTTGACGTCATATCCACTGATGACGTCACCGGCATCCGCATCGTCATCGTCATCATCACTGATGACGTCATCAGTGACGTGACTGATGACGTCACCGGCATCAGCATCGTCATCATCATCATCATCACTGATGGCGTCATCAGTGACGTCACTGATGACGTCATCGGCATCGTCACGTGGCCCCAGGTCACGTGACCCCCCGACGTCACGTGACGCGTGACCCCCAAGGTCACGTGACCCCCCGTCCCCCGAGGTCACTTGACCCACCCCCCCAGTACCCTTTTCTCCTCCTCCTCAAGAGCTGCGCTCTAATTCGGCGTTACAGGGAGTTGTAAACGGCTTTCATTTTTTTTTCAAAAGGATCGCGATTGGTACACGGAATCGTGACGTCATG